GGAGCGTCTACACATCATTTATTTTGAAAGAGAGCACTCTTCCTCAGACTTCCCTTATTCCTAGTACAATGAGGGTTACAGGAGTCGGAGTAAGAAGTTCTCCATCTTGACAGTCTTTTGACACTATTTCGAAATAGTCTGCATCTACACAGCAGGCAGTTAAGTTATTTCAGAATAACACTAGTTATTTCGAAATAATGTTGCAATGTAGACGTACCCTCGGTGTGGATGGTCCCGACTGGAGATTGCTGTTGGTGAGGTACGGGGTGGAAATGTGCTTGATGCCAGTTCCAAGGCTGGTCTCTCTACCTTCTCCATGGTGAGGAGCTTTAACTGATGCTCCCTTGCCTTTGTGACGTCAACATTTCCTTTTATTCCTTAAGACATACTTAAATCTTTGGTTAAAAAATGCATTAAATGGGCACTGCAGCCAGATGTTATCAAGGAGAATCATTCCATTTTGTCTTCTAAATACTCTCTCATCTCTGCCTGTCTCATCTTTGAATGTGAAAAAACTGCATGTGACAGCTGAATTTTTGTTCACAGTTTATTACCACTTTCTCTGCCATTTCTTTTAACTATTCTGTGGTGTGGGCATTTCCCTTTTTTTTTTTTTTTTTTGGTAAACGTGTAAACACTGAAATGTTTCCATGCGGGTGGGAGGGAAGGTGGATCCTCAGGAGTCAATGCTCGCAAGAAGCCTGTTTAAAAGCTGGATCCCCACAAGCACTGACTCCCACCTGCTTCCTCCCTGCTGCCTCCGATACAGAGGCAGATACAGATACAGAGGCAGTAGCATGGAGGGGGAAGGCTTGTGTGTAACTGTGAATGATAACCAATGAGTCCAGGCTCATGAGTTAACCATTTAAATGTGTATGTCGTCACATCCCTAAAAAAGCTCTATCACCTCTGGGCAAACATTTTTCATAAATCAGTCACTCCATATTTAACCTATCAGTCCTCATCCTCAAAGAAGCCTGCACAACACCTTTAAAAGACAAGCACAGGAATTTAAATTCATAACTCTGCCAGGCACTAAAACTCCTAGTTTCAGCAGAGACTTGTTTTATAGCTCAGTACAATTTGTAATCTACTAACTCTCCTCTATTCTTTGACTGTAGAGGTGTTAATTGCCCACTTTGTTTTGTGTTTTCTTGCAACTTGTTAACCTCTTATACTTCATCTGTCCCATTTTATATTTTTCTGCGACAATCCTATCTTTTCCAGACCTAAAGAAGAGCCTTAGAAAGTTTAAATATTTGCAATTTATGTTAGTGAAAGAGACTCATATATGTGTCTTAACAATTCTGGTTTTTACTATAGTTTCAACCAATTTGCCTGATACTGAAGTTAGTCTCAGTAACCAGTAAATCTGCCTTTTTTTTTTTAAAAGGCATTAACATTAGTTACCCAGTTCAGAGGCTGATTTAAGTGACAGGCTAGATATCACAGTTAGTAGTTCTGCAATTTCATATTTGAGTTCCTTCAGAACTTTTGGATGAATACAATCTGGTCCTGGTGACTTATTACTGTTTAATTTATCAATCTGTTCCAAAACCACCTCTACTGACATCTCAATAAGAGACAATTTCCTTAGATATGTCACCTAAAATGAATGGCTCAGGTGTGTGGACCTCTCCCACATCTTCTGGTGCAAAGACGGATGCAAAGATTTATTTAGTTTTTCCAAATAGCCTTCTCTTCCATGAGTGCTCCTTTATCTCCACAAACATCCATGGCCCTACTGACTGTCTGGCAGACTTTCTGCTTCTTAACAAAATTATTTGACAAAATTTTTGCTGTTAGTTTGTCTCATGAGCTAATTATTCTTCAAATTCTTTCTTGGCCTAGCTTATTATACTTTTTCATTTGATTGGTCAGAATTTGTGCTCTTCAAATTCCCTCAAAGGTGGATCCCTAGGAGTCGGTGCAAGCAAGAAGCCCGTTTAAAAGCTGGATCCCCACAAGCACTGACTCCCGCCTGCTTCCTCCCTGCTGCCTCCGATACAGAGGCAGATACAGATACAGAGGCAGGGGATTGGACTGGATTATCTCGAGGTCCCTTCCAGTTCTAGTATTCTATGATTCTATACTGTGGGTGACGCCCACTGCTAACACTTGAGGTACAATACCCGACAAGGCTGATGGCCATAATCTAGGACAGCGGTTGCCAACCTGTGGTGTCTGGACCCCAATGGTACTGTAGGGGGTCCGTGGAATGTCAGGACCCGAGAGGCTCCGTGCCAGCAGCCAGCAAGTCCCTCAGCCCGTGCTGCTTTCTGAGCTGTGGGAAGCAACATGGAATGAAGCTGCTAGCACGGAGCCGCTCAGCTGAGGGATGAGGCTCGGGAAGCAGAGTGGGCTGAGGGACACGCAGGCTGCAGGCACAGCTATATTGTTGGGGGGAGGGGTCCGTAAAATTTTAATAGATTGAAAAAGGGTCCATATGCTATAAAAAGGTTGGGAGCCACTGATCCAGGACAATGGAATGTGAAACAGCTCCGCCTTATTGCGGATGCTCCAGACTGTCTCTGACTCATGGATGCTGTGATAGTACAGAGTCAGGTAACCTTCTCCACTGGGAAGTGCAGGAATCAAATAATTTCCATTTTATGGAAATCCTATACAAGGTGAGAGGGGAAAATAATCAGGGTCTTCAGTTAATTTCTCCTCTGCCTCCCCCGCAAAGAGACACTGAAAAACACCTGGAAATAAAGGAAACTGAAGGGATAGGAAGGACTGCCTAAATCACATTGGAAAGATATCTGGCCTGTGAAGGAATGTAACTAGGACAATACCTAAGATGAGGAATTACTATTTGTAACCAATTTCTTTAGTGAATCGAGCTTAGTTTGCATACTTTGTTGCTTAGTAGTCACGTAAAAGCCACCTTTTTAAGTTAATAAACGTATTTCTTGTGTATAATATAACCCAATTTCTGTAATTTCTAACTTGGGGGGAAGGGAGGGAGAAGTTGTGCATATCTTCCTCCACAGTGAGGGAGGGGGCAAATCTCTCATAATTTTGGGTTTGCACTTCAAGGGAATTGGGCACCCTGGTGCTGTTGCAAGTCCCTTAAGCTGTGCCTTTCCAGCACTCATCTCAGTGTCTATACTGTTGTTCCTCCCACTCTTTTTAACAGGGGTGGGGAACAGGCGCCTCTAAGTCACTGGTAGCCCTCAGGGCATGCTGGCAACAGGCCAGACACCAAGTTCAGTCTCTTTCCTCCCCTTTGCCTATATACCTGTGAAGTTTCCCTCCTCATGTTTCAGCCAGCTCTTCAGTAGTGCATCTTCTTCCCACAGTTCCTAAAGCATCCCTATCTGCTGGAGGAGAGGCTTTAAATAGGTTCTAGCAGGCTCCTTTACTGGTCTCAAATGTCATAATTAACCTGGAGTAATCTTTGTTACATGGGGGAAAGGGACCTTCTTATCCTGGAGCTAATATACCTGTCTTCCACCACTTTCCTGTCTCCATCTGGCCTGACCGCATCACAACATACACAAACATACACAGACTATGTAAGAACGCATCCTTCTGAAGTTTCACCAGGAGGAAGGACCATTATCTATTGATTACCTGTTATACCTGAGGACAAAATCAGAGCCCCAAACTATATAAAGGAATGACTTACAAATACATGGGGATTCTTGGTCTGAACGAACAGCTGTTATAAATACATGTGATGAATGGAAGAGGTACAATCCTCTTCTGGACATCCAAGCCATTCAGTTAACTAAGCTGCCTATAAGAATTAATCCCAAACACAGTGGGTCCTTGAGAGTTTCCATGAAGTGTTGGCAGGGAGCCAGGAGAACCAATAAGAAGAGAGTGAGAGTTTTGAATTGCGGGATCCACAGTCTTTTGTGTGATCAGAACAAGAGCTGGAAGAGACGAGTTAAGCCAGGACAAGATACGGAATTTCCAGCGATTACCATAGCTAGGAAAGGTCTAAACCTTAGAACAACAGAGATTTAATTAGAACAGGGAGTATTTAGTTAGATGTGATCAGGTTATTTTCTTTATTTTGGGATTTGTGACCTACTCTGTGCTGAGTTCATGCACCCCTCCCCTGTACACTAACTTTTAAACTGAATCCCTGGAAGCAATTCTCTGTGGTTTTGATCTGTCTTTTTTTAGTTGCTCTGTAACACCTATCCACCAAGTATGCTTTATCGAGTCTGTCTTCTTTGTTTTGGTAATAAAATAATCTTTTAAGACTATAATCTGATTCTTGTGCCCTAGAAGGAAGGAGTTTCTGTGTGCACGTGCCTGAGACTGAAAGATCAGCTATTAAGAAATTACAAGTTGTTGTTTTCTTCAAGCACTCTCCTGAGGGAAAATTAAAGAGCTTAGGAGTACCCCACTGGAAGAAACCTCTCAGTGCTTCTTCCTGGGTTTTCAAAAGGGTTTTTGCATTTGGATGATGTCAATATACCACCCAAGGTCAGGAAATCTGTGACTTTGGAGGTTTTTAAAGCAGAAGCCCTTAATGGCAGGGTATTTTAAAGTCTCTTGCAGGCCCCCCACCTTCTGGTGATGGCTGGGGAGCTGGGACCTGAATAGAGGGTACCCTTGGTGGACCACAGAGGGGGAAATACAAGGTTCTTGCCCTGAAATGTGACAAAAGTAACAGGTGACTTGATTATGGTCTACAAGCACCCACGTACGGAAAATATTTCTAATAATAGACAGAACTTCAATCCAGCAGAGCAAGACATAAGATCACCAACTGGAAGCTAAAGCAAGACAATTTCAGACTACAAATAAGAAGCAATGTATTTTTTTAACTGAGGTAAATCACTAGAACAACTTCCTTAGGGACACAGTTGATTTTTCCACCATTTTAAATCAGGAATGAAGATCTTTCTAAAAGATCAAACAGAAGTTATGAGTTTCATCAGTAAGCTAGTAATTGAGGTTGTATGATCTGTTCTATGCAGGAGTTCACACTAGATAATCATAACAATTTTTTCTGATCTCAAATCTATTAATCTCACCTGCAGTCGAGTCTTCAAAAGCTTTCGTTTAAAACCTTCATAGAACATGAACTGTATGGCAGGATTGAAGACCAGAAGCAAGGAGGGGAAAGTACCATTCCATAAAGCCAAGACTCCTTCATCCCGTATTATCTGATGAAAGGCATCTGATGCGGAAAAGAGCAATAGGAATTCTTAACATACAGAGTTATAGCAGGGACGGATGAGAGTTTTGCGGGGCCCAGGGCAACACAATTTTGTGGGGCCCCTCTTTGGAGAAAAAATAGAAAAAAGGCATCAAATGCGCAAATTGAAGGCTATTTTCATAGTAAATGTGAATTGGGTAAATCTGATAAAAATTATTCAGCTAAATTAAGTTTAATTAATTATATTGTAAGTCATTCTTAAACAAAATTCTGCATTAACAATTAAAAATTTTCATGTGTATTTAAGTCTCCTCCCCCTCCTGCCTCACTCTCTCTTTCTTTCTCCTTAGTCTTCCCCCTCCTGCCTTTCACTCGCAGAGCCCAAACGGCTGTTTGGGCCTCGCGCAGCGTCCCAGCTGAGTGGCGCAGAACCCAACCAAGCACCACGGCAGAAGGCAAAGGTGGACAGGGCAATGATGTACACAGCCAGGGGGCGGGACCTGGAGCCTCTGTCATGCCCTTCACCTCCCACCGTGGCACTTGGCTGAGTTCTGCGCTGCTCAGCCAGGTGGGAGCAAGCGGCTCAAGCAGCCATTTGGGCGCCACGTGGTGGCTCGGTGTGGGGCCAATTGCAGCGCGAGCCAGCCACCCCGCTCGCCCTGCCCTATATCTGCCACTGCGTGATAAAGAGACTCTTTGCAATCAGACTAATTCTACATTTTTAATATCATCCTCCACTCTGTATCGTTGTCTCAGGAGGCTTGTCCCGCTGCTTATTTTGATATATTTATTTTGTCTTTTAAACTAATGATCAAATTCAGAGACTACGATTCACAGAATAGGGACACAGGTATTTTTTGATGAAACTGGGGCACCTCATGTATATGTTCCCCTCTGTTAGAGGCCCAATGTCACCATGAGATATCTAGCTAAAATGGCCCTATTCGGAGCTTTATTTGGTTGTGTTTCATTTTAGCAAAAAGCAGCATAGCTGTTAATCAAAAAGTTAACCTCCCTCTGCCTCAGTTCCTTTTAACTAGAAGCTGCCTTAGAATGTCATCTACCAGTCACCACTTACTAACACTAACATCAAAAGACTGAAGTGGAACTTGAACACCTTTTCTTTTTATTGGTTTGGTTTTCATAAACATGAGCCAATTTTCACTTACAAAAACAAGGTATACAGCATCTAAATTAATACCCTATGTTTCAAATGGCTTAAGTTTGAAATGCCTGAAATAAAAAATTGTGTTTAGACAAATCAAAGTTTAAATATTTGACCATCTCTAACTTAAAAGCATGGATCGGGGCAATGAGATAAACATACTAGCTTCTCATGGAGACTTACTAGTCAGTCAGCACCACTGGGTCATGATCATACATCACTCTCTGGAGTTTTCAAGCAGCAAGGAAAAAAAAACCCAGGAATTAGGGAATGTATATCCTATCTCCAGCAACAGAAATTTACTATATAGGAGCTATACAGGAAGAGAGAACTAAGGCATATTTAAAAAAATTCAGACAGTATGGAATACTGGCTGGCTCCAGAGCTTAATGATGGTAAATAAAGTCTTATATTTTTAGATTTAAGTTCAAACTTTAGTTCAGTTCAGTGATGACTAGAAGCCCCTATTATCTCCTTGGTTGTTCAATAACTTATGTAAAATCAGTTTGCGGACACAGTAGAATAAGTGTCCACAGCCCTAACAGCTACAACCACAACTGCCAAAAAATGTCAACTGAATGGGTCAGGAAGACTGTATAGGCTTCCTCCCTTAGGTGGGGCCCTTTCCAGGATCAACTGTGAGCACTGTGCCCACATACAGGGAAGGTGACACACTTGTGCTATCATGGACACGGGATGTTGGTTTTCAGAGCCAATCCAATATCTTTCATCTACATGAAATTCACGAAGAAAAATGACTGTAGCAGGTGCTTACCCATAATGCCTTTGTAGTTGGTTGGTACAATGTCTTCGTTTCTAAACTTCGCTCCCTGCAGTTTCAGCCGTGTGTTCACCACCCAGAGTGGAGTGGTCAAGAGCACATTCACTACACCTAACACAAAGTCCCCCACCCCCGCCCGAGAAGAAAATAAATCTTAAAAGTAAAACTCAAAAAATGCATAGTTCTACATTTTTTCCTCCTTTAATGTCAATGTACAAAATAATTATATAATAATTCACACAGAATATAAAGCTATAAAAAAGCCCAACACCCAGCAAGGATAACTACACAACTTCTAATTAAAATTATTTCTGTAGTTTTTCCAGTGAGGCCACAGAAGTTAAAACAATGAATTTTTCAACAGCCGATTAAAAGTTCCTTAGGTCAAGCAAATTCCCAGAGTCTTCAATGAAATTACTTCAGCGATTAATGTGGCACAACATGTTGAAAAGCATATCTATTAGTCACCACCCACATGGACTCAGTTATAGGAGAAGTCATGTTGTTCACTTTTGTTTGGGAATTTTTAAAAACCAGACAAGAAGTTCTGTTAAAATTCTTCCAATTTAGTTTTGTTGCCTGCAGAGGAAGGCAAAATTGGTGGGAAATAGAGCTCTGACCAATTAGATAACTGCTGGAAGTTCCACTCTGCATGATTCAATGACAGTTGTAAAAGCTACTGGTTCAACACCTACCTAGTTAAAGAAGATTTATTCATTCAAATTATCGCAAAGTTGCCAAAATCTTTCTTAATACAGACCCCTAATATCAGTAGGAACTCTATTCCCACTATGAATTATCCTGGAAGATAATGGCATTTATATACCATGGTAATGGGCACACTACATAGAGAAAACAGTTCAATATCTGTTACTTTTTGTCAGCAAAATCAAAAGAAATAATTTTATAAGTTTATACAGACACACAGACACAAATAATGGAGAGGTAGAAGATCTACAGTAAATACATAAGATAAATAAGAGACATAATATGAAGCAGTCCTCTATATTTATAAGATACAAAAAACAAAACAGTCAGCCAGCATGATCTCCAATGGGCTTCACAAAACAAGGTGGTCATTATGTAATATTTGGTTAAAAATCTCAGTTTCATAGAATCTCATGTTATAACATTCTATTTCATAATGCCTTATAGGTTCCATTACCTGCAACAAAACCGAGGACTAAATCTTTTCCTGTGGTTGAATGTTGGCCTTTGACCCAGAGGGCTTTGAGACTGTTAAACGTATAAAAATAAACAAAATTGGAGCAGCAGAGGCTGGAAATAACAGGGAACCACCCTCGATATGGTGCCAGGCTGAGGGGAAAAAAAAACAGACAAAGTGAGGGTCAGAAAAGTACAATCATAAATTGAAAGCATCTCAGGTCTGATCCAAAGCCCACTGAAGAAATTTTCCATTGGTTTCAACATATTTTGGATCAGGCCTCTGAAGAAAAAAAAAATGCACTGGAAGCCAGATCCACAGAAAACACAGTTGTGGATCCAAGAAGGAATTATACTATGCCTTTCATCCAACAAGGATACTGAAGTATTTTTCAGATCCATCAACAGAGGAATCTTTCATATATTACTCGTAATACTGTACCTTTGGGATGGAAAACATCTATTCTTCAACAGGAACAACAAGCAAGCTTTAAAAATGGTGTTTATTGAATTTTCTTGTGTGTGGGGAGGAGGAGATTCACACAGCTCATACTATGTAGATACTGACTAAACTGTTTCAATATAATGGTAACAATCACACAATATAATTTAACTGTCACTGATTAAAATCACTCATTTGCTTATCCTAACAACAACACTCATGAATAACTCCATTGAAGTAAGTGGAGTTACAAAGGCAAGCATAAACAAAAGAAAATTATGTATTAACCCCATTTAGTTGGGAAAGCACAAAGTTAAATTTCTAAAGTTGTAGGTTTCCATGATTAAGTGTCAGTACAGTTACTGGTAGGAAGAAAGAAAGATGGAGCAAGAAACACCAATTCTTTCGCATGTTTCTGGTCCCTTCTATCTCAGGAAAAATATACATACACCTTAGATGAACCATTTACTCTATTTAAAAACAAAATAAACATGTAAAGACTTCATAAAAATCAGAGATACTTCTATTGATCTGTTTACAATATTGTTTCAGAAGAAACCTCCCAAAGTGCAAAACAGCAAAGATAAGAAAAATGTGTATTTTAGTGGCTCAGGTTACTAGTACCATCAATTAAATTTGTTCTGGTGATAGGAGTAAAGTACAAGTTATTGTCCTGAATTTTATCCAGGTGTTGAACTTGTCTAATATAATTCACATCAGGAAGATTAACTAAACCAGACCAGCAAAAAACTGTTTTCAACATTATTCAAGAAAGATGAGAATGAGGGGAAACGGATAAAGCAGGGAGGTTTTTTTTATAAGAACTGTCTGTTTTCCGTTGCAGACAAGGACCTAAGAAAAAAAATCTGTATTAGCTAAACCTGTTTTTAAAAAAGTCAGTTCACTACCACAAATATTTGTATAGTATGAAATGAGCCAACTAACACCCACTGTATGCTTGGGATCTTGCATTTTTTATTATTTTTCCAGGTGTCCAACCCACTTCTCCAAAACTAGGTTAGCTTTATCTAGGGCTCTTGTGTCCTGAGGGGAATCAATAGCTTTCCTGTTGCCAGGAAAAAAGAGTGGTGACTGTTGCTCGTCAACATGTGAAGCACACAGCTAGTCCACTTCAGGTGGTATATGCCAAAACCACAGCTCCCCCCTCCCCACAGCAGTACCCAGGAGAACAAAGTATCTGTCCTCCAGATGCTTGTGGTGCCAGCTAAAGGCAGAAAGGGCAGAACCCACCCCAACCCCCTTCACATCAGCAGCTCATATTTTTTACTTCAGCATGGGAGAAAAGGAGGCTGGGTCCCAGAATGGATATATGCAACCTCTCTCAAAGAATGGTTTACCAAACAGGTACATAATTTTTTCATCAAGTCTCTGCATGTGTCCATTCCATTTCAGGTAACTTATAAACAGTATAAGATTGAGGAAGGTGTCAAACTTTAGCAGAATAGGGAATGCAAAACAACTCACAAATCGAGCATCATCTTTTGAGGTTTTGGAGACAGCATTAAGGATTGGTGAAAATATGAACAGACGCTCTAGTCACAGCTCTGCAAATGTCACATAGCTAGAAAGCAGTTCATGCTGCTTGCACTCTTGTACAGTAGGCTGAAACTCCCTCAGGTGTAAAAACCTTAGCAGTATCATACCACAGCAGAATGCAGGAAAAAATCCAAAAGGAAATTATCAAAGGAGAAATGAGTTGACCCTTCATTCTGCCAGAAAAAAAAGATTTGAGGGGACAATCTAAACTGCTCAGTCTTGTTGGAAGAACAAGCTAATGTCCTGTGGATGTCCAAAAGATGGAGTTTGTCTTAATCTTTAAGAGTGAGTCTTTGAAAAAAAGGTTGATAAGTATATAGACTTATTTAGGTGAAAATCTGAAACCACGCGTGTTAGAAATGTAGAATGTGGATGTAAGCAGATCTTACCTTTATAGAAAACCATACAGGGGCTGGGAGATCAGCAACTAAAGTCTGAAATTCTGCTATGCTATTAGCCAACCTAATACAGTAGGCTTCTGATAATCTGGCACCTTTTGGACCTAGGTGGTGCTGGATTATCAGATTTGCCAGAGAATTGGGAGGTCCAGTACAGCTGCACGGCTTAACAGCTGGCCAGGATACAATCTCCCTCCCTCTCCCCTCCCCTTTCCGTCTCCTCCCTGCTGTAACCTGATCCTCCTCTCCCTCCCCTCCCCTTTCCCCTTCCCTGAAGGGAAACACTCTTCTCCATACTGTAACACGATCCCACTCCCTCCCCCCCTCCCCAACCTTATGGTCCCTCTGGTTACAGCCAGCAGTGTGCTGAGCGGCAGGCTTTTTAATCAGCTGGTCAGGAGCGCTTGGCATTTTGATGCCGGAGTATCAGGAGTGCCGAACAGTTGGATGCCGGACTATCAGAGTTTTACTGTAGCCACTAGGAACACTACGTACACGGAGAGATGAGAAAAAGAGCAACTAGTCATAAGGCTAAACAGGGATCCCAGTAAAGCTGACAAAACCAATTTTAGATCCCAGGATCTCTTACAGATGGGAAAAGCCTGTCCAACTCTTCCAAGAATCTAACAGTAGTAAGATTAGAAAAAACAGATCTTGTGGAAATAGCCATCAAGTGAACTCCCATGGAACCGAGAAGAGTTTTTGGCCTGGTCTACACTAGGAATGATAAAATGTGTTTAAGTAAACGTGTAACTGCTGAAATTTCAGCGGTTACATGTTTACGGGGGGGGGGGGGGGGCAGGAGAAAGAGGAGGGCTCTGGAAGCATGTGTGTAACCATGAAGGATAACCAATGAGCCGAAGCTCATACTTTCACATCCTTACTCTACACTGGGCGTTTTCTCTTAGGTGAAGCAGATAAACCAGAAGAAAAATATATGGAATCCTGTAAGGTAGGCGTACTCTTCTTCATTTCACAAGCAGAGGCCTGTGAAAATTCCAACTTCATCCTAAATTGGACCAATACCACTATTTTTCCAACTGCAGAGATGTAGAAGTGGGCATCCATGAAAACCACTTGTGACTGATGTAGCTCACAGCACATTCTGGGTGGCAGCAGCACTGGCTACTGTGTAGCACATGAATCAGCCACCTCTGGCTCCACTTGTGGGAAGGTGGCTTCACTGCCACAGCAAGCCTCCTCCCTAGGAGCAGAGCCAGCAGCCCTTGCTTGCCCAGCTCACAGGGAGGAGGCTTCGCTGTCCTGCCACATTGAAGCCGCCTCCCTGAGTGCCGGCCGAGCGTAACCAACATCATTAACCAATAAGCCTCACCGTATTGGTTAAATGGTTAGTCAGTTACACTCTAACGCCCCTACTACTACACAGCGCAGCACAGCTTTTGGCTACCATCAGTATTGTCTGGAAGACAGAAGTTTGCTATGAATTTGGGAGAAGAGAGATAAAAGGGGAAGCAAGGAGAGTTACTTAGATTCAGAGGAAGGAGGTATCCAGATCCAGGATGGGAAAGGGCATCCCAGCAATTCCTACTTCCATTCCTATGGCAGTTTCTCTGTGGCTGGTACAAATACCCTTGCCCCTCTCTAGGCTGGGTATCTCTATTAGGACCCACAATGACTGGAAGGAAAGACTGGGCTGGATTAGGAAGTGGCATAAGTGACCACCTCTCACATCCAGCTCTGTGTGGCTCACCAACCATAAAAAAGGGGAGGAGAAGAAAGCTGTTGATACCTGATCACGAGAGGCAAATTTGACCCCATGCACCAACAAAACTACCCCAAGATCCTCCTCTAGGTACCACTCTGGCCTCTGCATGATAATGTGGGGGCGGAACACACTGAGAGGCCAGAAACATGCCTCAGCCTTTCAATATTTCTATTGTGTGGGTGTTAGCTCTTACTATCTCCCAATTCCACCACATGGTATCAAAAACTGCAGAGTCCCTCATTTGTCAAGGATGAAACAGGTACTAAAACTTAAATTGCATAAATGGGCAGAGCTAGTACCTTCATGTCTTGCAGCAAAGATGAGTCTGGAACCAAGAAACAAAAGAGGTCTCTAGCTACCACGTATACCTCAGATATCATCTGCACCAAGGAGAGATGCCCCAAAGTGTTCACTGAAAATTAAGTCGATGCTGCAGAAGATCCTGATAATACAATTGGTCTCCATGGTGCCAAAGTTGGTGCTGTAGACAACAAAGCGAAGTTACTCACCTCTGGTGCAGTAACTCGTTCTTCGAGGTGCTGTCCCCGCAGGTGCTTCACTATGGGTGCTGGGCTTGCCCCAGCGCTGCAGACGGAAGCTTGTCATGAGCAGTGTTCGGCTGGCCCGCACATGTGCTGCGGGCTCGCGGCTTTCGCGCTCTTTTCTGTCTCGTGCGGTCCGGCCCCCCGCCAGTTCCTCGAGACCGCCTCGGAGTCTGTAAGAGACAAGAGCAGAGAGAGAGAGGACTCCTAAGCGGGGAGGAAGGCGGGTAGTGGAGCACCCGCGGGGACACCACCTTGAAGAAAGACAGTTACTGCACCGGTGGTGAGTAACTTTGCTTTCTTCTTCGGGGATGTCCTCGCGGGTGCTCCACTATGGGTGACTGCGTAGCAGTAATCGCCAAAACGGAAGAGGGCAAGGAGTCCCTATTTATCTGCTGTGGAGAGTACTGCAGTCGCCACTTCCCCATCTGGAAATCCTCTGGGAAGATAGACGTTGACCCTTTGACTTGTGTGCCAAGGAGACGAAT